CGACGAAGAACACGAGTGCAAAGCAGTACACCGCCGCCACCATCCTGCTCAAGAAGACACCATCTTGCTTCGCCTTCGCCACAGGATTTGTTGTCCATGATGTGCTCGCCAAATGACGACGGCCACGATGTCGAGAAGGGCTGTCTCTCGACGCACTTGACTTTGCGCTTGGATCTTGGGATGTGGCGCGACGGATCCAAGTCCAGCGCCGTGATCGACGGTGTCGACACCGCCACGTGGCGCGAATCTCGTTGTTGTTGAAGTGAGTCTATTTAGATATAATTTACACTGAACTGGATATGGTGGTGGACTATCGATTCCAAGGTGTTACGATGAGCCGGCCGCCGAGAGGCTTAGCCGAGCGGGAGACGTGGCGTGTAAACGGCACATGCCGGAACAAAGTTGTCGCGTAGCCATGCGTCGTGCCGCAGGGCTGCCATCATTTGGAAGAGGCACAATGCTTGAGTGTTCAGCAGCAGGTGTTGGAGGTGCAGCTTGGTCAAGAACGCGGCTCGTTGGGCGGCTGCCTCAGGCGTCACAAGGGGCGCCTCGGGGCGAAAGACTCGGTCGTTGCGGGCAAGCCAGACGGTGTGGAGCACGCACGCGCGGAGGATCGGTCACATCATGGCCACGGCGCGCCGACGGTAGCGTTGGGCTGTCACCAGCGGTTCGAAGAGGAGCGCGGAAAGCGTCGTGGAAAGTTCGAGCTCGAGGGCGTCGACGAGCGGCTGAAAGACCGCCCACACGGCTGTGACAAATTCGCAACGAAGCAGAAGATGGTCGTACGTCTCGAGGTCGCCGCTGACGAGCTGGACACTACGTTTTGCTCAAGAAGTCACGAGCCCGCATCTCGCCACATGGTATGTGTGCTCGCCAAATGGCGACGGCCACGATGTCGAGAAGGGCTGTCTCTCGACGCACGTGACCTCGCGCTTGGATCTTGGGATGTGGCGCGACGGATGCGAGTCCAGCGCCGTGATCGACGGTGTCGACACCGCCACAAATCTCGTCCTGCAGCCTCCAGCGATGTCCCATCGACGACAGGTGGTACGACCGACCGATGTGCCGTCTAAAGGCAAACGATCGAGCGCAGTCACGGGACATGCTAGAATTCGGCAGCGCGAAATTGTGAAGACGAACCACTTGTACGCTAGCCTTGTGGGCTACTGCGTCAGCTATATAGCGGCCCAAGAGCAGTCGGCAGCCGTTGAAAGGTGTGCTGGGCGGTGGGAGAGAGGACACTATTACACGGGCCAAGCCTCTTCCAACTTGAACTCAAGCCCCGTTCAACGCCCCACCGAGTGCAGGTGTCGGTGGTGTAGACACACATCATTTTCAGATTACTACAAAGTTTTTGACATGCAAAGGGTACAAGATCTGGAGCCATGTGGCGGATCCAGTGGCGGATTGATGTGTCCAGAGCGCTGGTCGCCACACATTGAGCATCTGTTGCACGCTTCGTCGATGAAGCGAAGAATGAATAACAGGGGGTCAGCAGGGGTCCTTCTCCAGGCGAGTGTGCGGGCTTCAAGAATATTTCTTGCTAGAGCAGAAGCAGCTACTCTTTTGATAAATTTTAGCAAAACACACTCCAATGCAGATCTATATCAGATTTGACACATGTTTTTAAACACATGGTTGTCGGATACGCTGTGCTATGTCGCATCGGCTAACGATTCAAGATTTTAAAATGGCCTTTGGCACGTCGAAAGCTTCAATCGTGTCAAGCTGACCCTGGGAACAGCCAGGGTCAGCTTGAATTGAAGCCTTTTCAGATTTAAGGATTTAAGAGGGAAGAAGGAGCCGTTGTTGCGGCAGCCGTTGACGGTCCATCGTAGCATCTTTCGAGCCTCGTCCTGGACCAACGGCCAACCTTCGTTGTGCGCTTTTTTTGGAGAGCTATTGAACCTGCTCAACCTCGACACAGCTCGTCGACAAGAGTTGCGAGTCAGCAAGGTAGGTAGTATTTGGTGTATGTAATTTCACGGCGCACGCGACAGTTGCTCCCTTGGTTTCAACACACATCACAATTCAGTACCTCTTCGTCGCGCAATGACCCTACCGGAGCTGTTGATGGTCCCGAAGCTCCAGGGGTGGCACGCGACATGTACACGAGGCAACTGCTGGGCGATCTTCTTCTGTCATGGGTCGCCACATCTCCGACACCAACCAACGCGACTGTCAAGCAAAACGCATAGATTGATCGATGCTAGACACCATATAACGATGACCAGCGACCACGCATACTCTTCGAGAGGTCGAAGAACGCGCGGAGCGAGCTACAGGGTAGAGTCGTGAGATGGATCCCGGTTCAACGACACAGGTGGACTGGAAGGCGCCAATAGAGATCGGCAAACTCATTGTAACAAAGCATCGGATCACGCGCCTGTCTTGCATTCGTTCGTACCAAGCCAATGGATGGTTGGTGCAATCATCGCCTCGAACACGGTCGAAGGCGCCGGCACTTGAACGACGTCGTGGTACCACATTTTCGAGGAGGGGCCGTGGGATATTTTGCGGCTGCTCCAGTGCCACACTGGCGCCATCAAGAACGTGCGACGCTGGATCTTGCAGATCTTTCGCAATCCAGATCTGGTTCCTCTACTCACTATAGTGTATCGCTCAACCACAATCGTGAGCGTGGCAAGGGGATTTTTTAAGTTAACAAATTACACTAGATAGCACGACGACAGCACTCTATAGGCCCCCGTAGAGGCCTTGGACGGGCCACGGGCTCGGGCTTGGCACGGGCGGATAGGCACTCGTACTCCACATGGCCGGGGGGTGGGATGCCTGCAGGATATTCGGCGACGGCGCTTCGCTGCCACTGCTTCCGCCCGACGGTAAGCAGAGCCGCTCGAGGTCCTGCTCGAGCCACATGGCTTCAATGTCGGCATCGTCGGCCGGCGACGCGTACTCGGGGCTATCAAGCGGTGTCATGTCCGTTGCCTCGTCGAGCCGCAGCGCAATCCCCAGCGGCGCTTGGCACGCCATCGGCGTCGCGAGCTCGTCGGCGACGCGGCGCTTCTTGATGATCTTGAGCGTGCGCGCCACGCCGGTTCGCTGCGACGCGGGGAGGTGCGACTTGGCATGGCGCGCGAGGTTGCCGGAGGTCGTGAACGACTTGGCGCAGGTCGGGCACGTGTACGGCCGCAAGCCGACGTGCGTCTTGAGATGGCGCACGAGCTTCTCGCGCGTGCAGAAGCGCTTGGCGCACTTTTCCCACGCGCACGCGTACGGCTTCTCGCCCGTGTGCGTGAACGTGTGTCGCGAGAGGTTGCCGGATGTGCTAAAGTGGCGGTCGCAGCCGGGCACGGGGCAGGTGTACGGGCGGATGCCCGAGTGCGTCTTCTCGTGCTCCTGGAGCGTGAACTTGCGCTTGAAGCGCTTGTTGCAGCCGTCGATGGGGCAGACAAAGCGGCGCGCGTCGTCCTCGCTCGGGATCGAAGCTTCGGTCGACATGAAGGAATAATATCGACGCGGCAAATAGGAAAGTGAGACCTACTGTGGCATGTTCCGGCGTCGCGCCATGCGACGTTTCCACCTCAACGACCGGCTGTCCCGAATACCGTAGGCAGGCTGATTCCTGAAGTTTGTGAGCCAGTGCGACGAGCCTCGCCGCAGTTAGTAGTAAACTGGCGGCCAAGGTCCTTCCAACACCAGGCTTTCGTGCGCTGATAGCGGCCTCGGAGCGCGTCGTGGCGACCAAATGTGCTCTCGGCTACACCCACATCTTGTCTGCGGCGAACGACTGTCCCACCCTGCGCAGCCGGGAGGAATTCACGTCCAAACGTGCTTTGCACGTGTGATTACGACGTTGCCCTTGTGCGATTCCCTTATTCAGTACGTGTTGCCAGGGCGCGGCTCGTTTGATGCTACAGGACAGAAGCGAGCGAGGTATAAGTATACGTGGTCAACTAGCAAGGGCGTACATGCGCTCACAGTCAACACGCTTTGCGAGATGGCGCGGCCGCCGCCTGCACACTGGTGGCTTGGGATAAGGCCGAGATATGCGAGGCGGCAACTCGGCGACTCTACGTGGCAGCTCTCGCATGGTATCTCGTCTGCTCCATTGCTGAATTTAGATTCGCTTAGAGGCACGCGATCTTATATGATCTTATATGTGCTTGCATGCGAGGGGACATGCCGTTGACTGTCTCGCGAAACAAACAATACTTGTTGTCGCCACGTTCAATGGTTCAATGCGTTGGAGCTCTCGCCTGCCGACCACGCAGTTCGATATGTCGTTTCGGTCGACCTACATCTAGCTGGCCGTGATGGCGGGTCGCCTGACACACCGCGGGCTCCCTTATCGCTCTTCGGTCCCTCGGAGCTGCAGGGTGTGCATTACTTGTTAAGCGAATTGGAGGCGCCACCCAGAACAGCGTGACCTGGGTGCTGCAATCATGGAATTACCCCACGTCACGCAAGCACTGCGCGATGATTGGTGCGGGTGATTTTGATATTCGCTTCTGATTGGTGGTATCCGACAGCCTTTCTAGCGCGAACGCTTCCGATTGGTCATTGCAGCTTTGCAAGGTGGCGTTGAAGTTGGCCCGATGCTGCGACATGCTGTATTGGATGGCAAGGCAAAGCTGCGATGGCGAGCTCATTGACATGGAGGAATCAAGCGCCGCGTCGACGCGTCGCTGCTTGGAGCTGGGACATCGCGACGATTCCTCTAGCGTTGCACGACTCAGAGCCGGTGGCGGTAGGCGGCTGCGCGACGAAGGCGTGCCACATCATCGGTACCCAGCCGTCCCGCGCGTGCGAATACCACCGTATCATGAGATGGACGAGTAACTATTTTGGAGACGTCCTGGGCGGATTCGCTGCACTGCAATAAGATCGTGCGCCTGTATGCAAGTCGCAATCCAGGACGCCAGAACACGCAAGGATAAAGGAACCCACGCGACGACGACGCCATGGGCCCTTCACAGCACGCTTCAACGAACGCGAGGAATAGGCTCGGCAATGCAAAGCATGCGACACGACCAAGCCTATTGCACGCGTCAAGCGGCGTCGTTGACAAGGGAGCGTGCCAGCACACATAGACAGCGTCTGATTGGTCCAACACGGACCAATCGGGTGCGGCCAAGCCACGCTCTCGCCCTCCGAGCCGCTCGTTCCGGACGGTATGTTGAGGCTTCCACGGAAACGACGCGTGCAATTGGCTGCAGGCAGCCATCCTCTCGCCGGAGAAGGGTTTCGATCGGAACAGTCCGGCATCAATAGACAGGGGCCCCTGCGATATCAGGTCGCTGACTCATGCCACCGCGGCTTCCTTCAAGAGCAAGTGCCATCGTTTCCAAGACCCGCGCTCGGTGGCTAGTAGATGCATGCACAGAGTAGGATACCTTGCAAAATGCTTCAACAAATCTCAGCCACCGCGCCCCGACGGGCTTTTCTGGGGCTTTTCCCATCAGTTCCGGAATAAAACGCACCTGTGTACGTTTATTGATGTTTAAACGTGTTGACCAGCTTCCGAGGCTTCCTCGGTCTCGGAGGAAGGCGTGCGCGCGAGGCGAAGATTACGAAGGTGGGGAATGCATGAAACAAAGTCTTTCTGTGACTTGTACCTACTCGTTCTACCGACACGCGTCGGACGGTAACGGTGCGAGCCCAGGTCACGGTGCAGCGTCGACACCTTGTGTGAGCCCGTCGTCGACACGGGATCTTTGATATAAGAGCTCGCTCGTTTGTACGCTCGTTACTAGCAGCGTAAGAAGGGTGCAGTCTCCCTACGGCGTCGTTGCCCAAAACGGACTGTCTGCCCAGCAAGTACGGCATTACGTTCACCGTTCGATCGAAGCTCCCATGATATTAGCTCCAGATGTCTCTTCTCTGTGGTTGCCTCACCGTCCCTTGAACTTGAAGGCTCTTGAAGCGAGCTCGCACGACGTCGCTCCACCTCCGCCGGCACTGCGTTAAACCCTTCCTTTGACGCGTGTTTAAACACCGAATCTGGTCCACGCTGGACGCTTGCCCATCAAACTCATGGTTGAAGTTGGCACTTTTCGATTGGTTACAAGCATGTCGGAGCGACTCGCGATGCTGCCTAGCGCCCCCGCGCCCCGCCGCCACGGGTTCGTTGCGGGCTTGCTGGCGGGCGCCGTCGGAGTCTTCTGCGTCGGCCTCGTCCTTTCCCAGGCTACGCCCCGTGTCGACGTCGAGGGGGTGACAACAACGCTCTCAAGCTCGCCGTCGCTTTCGGCGCTTGCTGGCGTCTCGGCCGCCGACCTCGCGCTTATCAACACTCCGCTGGATGCCGCAAGCAATCTCACAGAGGAAGCGTGGATCAGGTACGTATTCTTATTCTTATTTTCTGCCAACCAGCCCGGGGTAGCGCTCGCATTGCCCGCTGGATCGTGCACGCCAACACGTGGGGCACGATTGCCACGACCAGCGTGCATCTCGACGGCGCGCCGTTCGCCAGCATGATCTCATACAGCGGTGCGGCTCCATTTATTTGATTTATTTTTGATGATTTATCGGCCGATCGTACTACTAGATGGCGTCGGTGCGTCGCCTCGCAACGCGACGGGTCGTCTCTACTTTTACTCGAGCGTCATGGGCTCGACAGGTGCGTTTTTGCGGCGTTGACATGGGTTTTATACTGATATAATGGGGTGGCACAGGCAAGGACTTGGCCGCCAACCCGCGTGCGTCGGTCTCGATCACGATGGCCCAGCTTGGCCACTGCGCGTACGATCCTCAGGTATCGCATCTCGATTCAAGACAAGGGCGTTGTTAAGAAGGGAGACTGTACAACACTAATTGTAGGACCCGACGTGCTGGCGCGTGGTTTTTTCGGGGACCCTAACCCCTGCGGTCGCGGTGGACGACGCGCTCGCGGCGCTCTTCTCAAAGTAATAGTCCCGTCTTGTGTAGTACGCGGGCTTAATACGTGCGATAGGCACCCGCAGATGAGCTATTGGCCGCGCGGCCACGATTTCACAGCGTACGTCTTCCTCTCTTTCGTCAAAAAGGGATTAAAAATCGTGCCATTAGGTACGAAATGCACCCGACCGAGATTTTGCTGTTGGATTTTTACGGCGGCGCCAAGCACATCGATCCCGCCACGTACTACAGCGTGCGCTTCTAAGCCGTCGGGTCTCTCGCCGCGAGCCGCGGTGGTTGATTTCTTTCAGATATTCAACACCACTTTCGCCACTTAACACCAACACGACGCTTCCTGTCTGCCATCCCACCGCGTTGCACGCTCGTCCACGCACCCTCGAGGCGTGATATGCTCGGAGTCGCAGATGCTGCGCACAAAGCGCAAGTTGTGCGTTGCAGTGTGATCTGGCTTGCGTCTCTGCGCCTATCAGTTTTTAGGCCTGGACATACGAGCTGGACAAAGGCCGTCGGTGGCGTCAGCAGGACCCACGCGACCGTACTGGCGCACTGTAGATATGAGTCAATCTCACGCTCCCAGGCGTCTCTGACCACCGCTGGTGCCAGTTTGCAGTTTGCAGTTTGTAGTTTGCAATGGTGGGCACGGCGCGCCCGTCACCGTACCGACCGGCTTTCGTTTGTGAGCTCGGTCCACAGCAGCGCGCGCCATCTGCTGCACGACAGCTTTGAGCCCGTCAAGACGCCCCTGGACGCCGACCTCGAAGGCGGCGCGCTCCGCGACGGTGGCGCGCCTTCGATCACATCGCCCGAGATCCTCGCGCTCCTCTTCCAGTATGCGTGCATTGGCATCGTGGACGGCGGCATCTATGGCATGACGTACCCGATCCTCACGGGCTACTTCCAGCTCGAAGGCAACGTCCTCAACTCTGCGACCGCGCTCATGGGCCTCGGCTGGTCGCTCAAGGTCTTCTTCGGGCTTCTCACCGACTGCGTGCCCATCTGCGGGTACCACCGCAAGCCGTACATCCTCCTCGGCTGGCTCTGCACGGCAGTGCTACTGACCATCGTCGCCTTCAAGCCCGCCGGCGCCCCCGCACCGGACCCCAGTGCGAACGCCAACGGCACGACCCTTGCGCTCCTCTGCGCGGTCGGCTGCTTCTTCTACATCATGGCCGACGTCGCGCAGGACGCACTGCTGGTTGCGTACGCCCAACGCGAGCCGGTTGCGACGCGCGGCCGTCTTCAGTCGACGATTTACGCCGTGCGCACCGTCTGCTCGGCGAGCATCACGGCCATCTACGGCTTTTGCCTCAACTCGGAACGCATGGCCGGGACCTTTGACTGGGACATTGGTGTCAACGGGTACTTTTGGATTCTGGCCGCCACGTCGACCCTCAACATCCCGGTGGTGTATTTCTTTATCAAGGACACGAAGGCGGCGACGCGTGTCTCCATCGCGCAGTACTTGGCGCGGCTCTGGACGCTCGCGCAGAAACGCGTCGTGTGGCAGGTCATGCTCTTCATCTTCCTCTTCTCGCTCTGCACGTCGCACATCAACACGACCGCGGCGCCCTACGTGGCCCTCTACTGGGCCAAGGTCGAGACGCTCAACGCCGCATTGACAAGCATTCTGGGTGGCCTTCTCTTTGCCGTCGTGCTCGCGGCCACGGGCAAGTATGGGACGCAGTGGAACTGGCGCTACGTGCTCGTCACCACGGCGGTCCTCGCCAACGTTGTCGACGCGATCGTCGTCTTTTGCACGATCTTTGACGTGCTGCGGAGCCAGTGGTTCTTCCTCGGCGTCCCGCTCACGACGCAGCTGCCATTGGGTGTCAACTTTGTCGTCGGCACATTTGTCATTATCGAGCTCGCGGAAGAAGGCAGCGAAGGCGTCATGTACGGTCTCCTCACGACGATCGCCAACCTCCCGGGCGTCTTTGGTCCGCTCCTCACCAATGTGCTCAACGCCCACTTTGACGTTGGGAAAGCCCGCATCGCGATCGATGCACCCGAGACGCGGACGCAGGTCGCGTACACGTATGTGATTTCGTATGCGGCGACGGGTCTCGGCTGCCTCTGCGTGCTTCTTTTGCCCGACCAGAAGGCCGCCGTCGCGCACCTCAAGGCGCATGGCGGCAGCTACCCGCGGGTGGCGAGTGTGATTTTCTACGGCTTTTTTGTCATTTTGGCCACGTCGGTGACGGGCACGATGGCGTCCATGTTTGAAAGCACTCGCTGCCTTCGCCTTGCCGGCGGCAACGGCTGCGACGACGAGCCCTCGCAAGTGTACCTTCTCGGTATCATCGGACCGGCCAGCGTCGCGCTCCTCGCTCTCCTCGCGATCGCACTGCGGGCCACGCCAGTTTATTAGATCTGGGTCGTTTTCATCTCGTTCCCAACAATACAAAAATCTTCTCTGCGACGTTCAAGGTCCCTTCTGAGGCTGCTCTTCCAGTCCTTCCTGCGTGGCGACGCCTCAGGTTGCTGAAGGCAGTTGGTCGGTCGTCGCTGCACGCGATTGGTCGTGTATCTTTTGACCATTTATAATATTGTGCTTGGTTTTGTATGCCAATGCATTGTATTTCAATGAACGCTCTGGATTGGCTCGTCGTGGCCACCGCCTGTCTGTATTGTATACTGAAAGCAAGTGCAATGCGTTGACACGCGACAACAGTCGATTGGATGTGCGGGTGCTCTACCAAGAACACGGTGGTGGCAAAGCCAGTGCATTGGTCTACTCAGTTGCTTGACGTCAACATATTCTCGCCAGCAT